AGGGAACAAGGCTCTGCAGTGTGAGAGCTATCGGTTACATGCTTGCTGGAACCTCACCCCAATAACCTGCACATCAGACTTGCAGTCTGCATGACGAGAACCCAGGGAGAGGGAGAGGGGAAAGCCCTCTGAGAGCATGTGGACACTAGGAAATCGTTGCAAATAACTTACTTGGAATAATAACTCCCAGAAGAACTATTTCAAAATAAGCTTATTCCCCGAGGAAAGCAGGAGTTGTCATCTCAAAATAACCAGCCCCATGTTTGGAAAGGACGGGCTCGGTAGCGTGGGCGCGCCGCTGCTTGTTTCGAAATAACGCCCCAGCGAAGATGTGCCCTCTCCCTTTCATGGCCAGGCTTTTGTTGTGAGGTGGAACATCCGTGCCTCATGTAGGATCTCTCCTTTCTCAGGTGTCTGGAGCTTGTCTTCCCCCTTGCTTGTTGCACCTCCCTTGGTTTGCCGGGCCTTGCCCAAAGGGTTGCTCTTCCCCCTCCAGCCACACTAGCGCACACATTTTTATCTTGTCCCACTCACCCCTCTGTCCCTGCCCAGGCTAACGAGCCAGTTGAACATCACTGTGCTTACGGAGTCATCGTTAATATGTTCTGCAGGCCGATGGCGCGGGAGTCTGTTGATGGCTGGAGTTCCATGCCAAGGCTGCTCTGTGGGGCTGGCCTTTGCCAGCTCTTTTCAGCCGTCTGTTGTAGCCTTTTCAAAGCAGGCTCCATGGGTGGTAATTCATATCTCTGGCATAGATCTATGGATAAAGCTGGCTTGGTTCTTTTCCTCATCTTCCATTGCTTTCATTTGTTCCCCTCCCCCACCTTATTGTAGAGAGCTAGGATAAGCCACCATCTTTTTCTGATGTTTTAGCTACGTTTCCTACAGCTCAGACTATTTGAGTTGGATGAAGACTCTGCCTCCACCTATGTAGCTCAGAGCCAGGCCAGTTTGGAACCTAGAAAGTTGATACTCGACCTGCTTAAGCAGCCTTATCCAAATAGTTTCCTCCCTACAGGTGGCCTTCCAGCGTTGTGTATCCAAAACCTTCCTCTCCGACTTCCATCAGCCAGGATCCAGCTTTTTGAACTCACACTGCCTGGTTTCCCGTCTGTTTCCTGCACTGCCAAACCTGTTTCAACACAAAACAGATTGTAGTAGAGTGCATCTTTCCAAGTCATTGCAGGGAAGAACTTTCTCCTTCTATGTCCGGGCAACTTGGAGTCAACCGTCATTCTTGCAGTCCTTTCCTGCTGCAAGTTAGTCACTCGGTGGGGAAAAAACAACAAGCAATCCTGTGGCACCTTAGAGACTAACCAAAATATATAAAATCAGGCACTTTTGTGGGTAAAAGCTCCTTCCTCATATGAGTTGAGGTGGAAATAACAGAAACCACTTCAGAAACAGCTATAAAAAGCAGAAGAAGTAGCTGTGAATTGTAGGACCCGTGTTGGGTGAAGGGGTAAGAGGAGGTTGGTTACTTCTAATTAGAGGTTCTTCCAGAGATGGGGTCTGTAGTCCACAGTGGAATGTCACAGAGCCCATGGATGTGCCTGGCTCACCTTGTGCCTCCAACTGAGGGGTTAAAGCAGCGGGCCAGACTGATCATCTCTCCAGTTCCTGGAGAACCCCTACCTTTGAGGAACTGGGCCGAAATGATCGGCATAACCACATTAAAAGCAAGGCCTCTGGCAGGTTGGACGCTGCAGCCAGAAGTGCTACGGCAAACCTCGCATGCATAACCGGGTGTTTGAGCAGGAGGAAAGAGCTTGTTTTACTTCTGTATTTGGCATTGGTGCACCTGCTGCCTGCCTGCTGGGTCCAATTCTGGTGCCACGGCTCAGGAAGGACGTTGATCCATTGGAGAGGATTCGGAGAAGGGCTGCAGGAATGATTAGAAAACAAGTCCTATGGGGTAGACTCGTAGAGCTAGTTAGCTTACTAAAGGCAAGGTTACATGGCAACTTGATTCCAGTCTCTAAGTGTCTACATGGGGAACAAATATTTGACAATGGGCTTTTCCCTCTAGCCTAGAAAGGATCGGCAGACGACCAGCCGACACCCCGGCCAACTGCGACCCGCCTGTCAGCTCGAGTCAGAGGACCTGGAAGCTGGAGGAGACCCTCCCTGACTTCCCCAAGGGACCAGCTAGAGACTCAGGTACCCGCGGAGGGGGAGAAAGGAAGCGGCCCAGGGAATAGCAAGGGCTGGCAAAAGCCCTGGGCCAGCGCGTTGCGGGCTGGAGCCCTGCTGCGCCATAGCAGCCTACATTGCTGCTCCTAGGGCCCTGGGCCGGGGCGCAGTGAAGTGGGTGGGCCTGTGCCCTCCCCTCCCCTGCCACCCACCTGCAGAGTGGCAGTCTACCCCCTCCCCACCAGTGCAGGTGAGATACTTGCCCCACTCCTGCGCCAGGAGCTCTACAAACCCTGATGTGTTTGTTGCCGCCACGCCCTGAGCCAAGGGCCTGGCCACTCCTTATACTGTGTGTGTTATCCCGCCCTGCGTATGTATTGTTTGGGTGCTGCTCTGCCCTGCTCCAGGCCAGCGCCTACTGTTTTACTTTGCGGCCATGCCTTGCACCAGGGCCTGGCCGTCATTTTGCTGCCCCGCCCTGAGCTGGGGCTGGGCTGCCATTACAACTGAGGCTGTGTCAGTTGCCCCGCCCTGTTCCAGGGCCCGGACTTTCTAGTAGGACTGAATCCCTTCCTAGTGACCCAGGCCTGAAGTAAGGCCGGGCACTCGAACTGGTTGCCCCTCACCCCGAAGTAAGGCCACAAGTGGAACTATTGACCCCGTCTACCTGTCCTGGGCAAGGCCTGACTATGGGACTAGAGACTTGGGGACTATTGAAAGGGGCCGCACAGTGGGACGGGTGCACCCCCGGAAGGGGGGCTCACAGATGGATGTGGGCAGTGTCCCAAAGAGGACCACATGACCGGGAGCTGAGAAGGGAGACGCCACCAGCCGAAAGAGCCAGTTCCCCGGACCGACGGCTGGTGGCGGTGAGCCTGCCCCCTTTACAGAATGGAAAAACTGGGAAACTGTTAGCATTGTTATGAATTTCTATTGTGGTAGTGTCCAGACTCCTAGCCAGCAGCCAAGCCCCCCTGGACTAGCTGTTGTACTAACACACAGAGTCCAGCTCCCTCCTGCTGCCCAGAGAAGCTCACTGGAATGATCTTGGATGTTAAAAGGTTAATGCGGAGGACCAGGAGGCCTGGAAAAAACACGGGCAAGGACCCCCTCTGACTTGGAAAGGGCTAGAGCATCCTGAGCAGTAGGTACCTGCTGATGCTCAAAGACTGACCCAGCTTCACAAATGCGTTACTGAGGATGCAGAATTCCCCCTACCCTCCAACAAGCCTCATTACTGGAGAGAGAGCAGGTTTCCATGACTGAGGGAAGTGAGGGACAGCAAGATAGTCACCCACGCAATTCTGGCCCAGTGGAACATGCCCACACTCCCATCTCGTTTAAAACATTTCATTAGTATGTTGCTGCAGAGTATAAAAATCATCCGCCCCTTGCCTCCCTCAGGCTGCTGCTGGACATAGGAGTTAGAGGGCCGTGCACAGAACTATTAAACTGATGCCCCTAAGGACGGCCCCACCTCAGGCTGCAGGTGAGCTCTGGCTTGTATGCACGGATGTTTGGAAGTAGACTCATTTCCAAAGAGGTAATTCAACTACTACTTCAAACTGGAAGGTCACAATTCAAACACTCCACTTCATAAAAAAATAGGCGATCATTTTTAATTATTTTTATATAAAAAAAAATAATTGTTAATTTGATATTCTACTTTGTACAAATATTTGCTCACACATCCTATATTTGTTAGGTTTCCTACACAAACAGTCATCGTCGTATTTGCAGATTTATGCAAGGCTTACATATGACCCTAAGATTGATTTCTGACAGTGTGCCATGTTGAGAGAGTATAATTAAGACTAACTTCCAAGTGCCAATCAACACAGGTGGCTTAGTCCTAGCATAAACACAAACTTGAATCTAATCTTTTAGCTTAACATTTTTGGTCGACTACACAGAAAGGCCTTAACGCTGCTGTACCAGAAGACTTGGTAGTCTTTTCATAAAACCTTTTCAGGCAAGTAACACGACCTCCTAAATCAAAGGGATTCTTTTGCTTATAATACACACAAACACACTTGAAGCGATAGCTCACTCCTTAAAGAATGAACGTTCTGCTCAGAAAACTAAACTGTGCTAAGACTGTTACCCCAAAACTCTCATTAGTGAGGAACCTAGCTAGGAAAAATGAGTGAAGAATAACTTAAAGCCAGCAAGTGTGCACACATATGGTATAAACCTTGTACTACAGCCAATTTAGATCGATCAGATCAGCTACAGGCTAGTCCAGAATTAACCGAAATGCTGCACTGAACTACCTCTAAGTCCTCGGTGCAGCGCTGACATTCCTATCAACAGTGTCATACCAGAGTGGAAAACGGAGAGCCAGCTAGTCATCTCTCCCCCATAAACAGCGTGAAAAGGTCACGTTGTCATTTTGAGGAACACGTCTGACAAGGTGAAGCTGCCACACAAGCTGGATTTGCTAATGAACAGACCAGTGTTTTCAAGTTTACATGCAATGAAAAAAACCAGATGAGCAGAGGTGTGCAGACAGTAGAAAACCTTGACAGACTGGCCTGAACTGTGGAGGAGGCTAGAATTTTCTGCACTTGTGATTGAGCCCAGCTCTCATCGGGCCTGAAGCAAAACCCACCCCTATGAGGGTTGATTTGTTTTCCATCCCAGCCCCACTCCACCCCTTCCCCGAACCCAAGTTGTCATGGCCACCTCCTGCCTGTGTGCTCTGTGGCGGCATGGCCCACTCTTGCCATCCACAGAACCTACTGCTGGACGCGCCCTGCAGCAAGAGGTTCTGCCACTCCCAGCAGGCACACGGTCAGAGCAGCCTGCAAGAGGGCACACGGCCTACACCGTACCCATAGGCAGGGGAGCCAGCGAAGAGACCTGACCCCAGGAGGGCCTGACCGGTCCCCTACCCAACCTGCACCTGACACGTGCTTGGGCCTGATCAGGTCTCAGGGCTCTAATTTGTGAAGCATTTGAATATATTTTTCAGATTTGTGAACATGTAAGGCTGGATCTTCAGCAGTTGGATCTTCCACCCAATACACTGGAGAAGTCAGCACGAAACAAGCTGCCAATAACTAACATAGCTGGAATCGTTCATGTCCAAAACATACATGAACATACATTTGGGAGGAAACAGGAATTTGAATGAATCTCTTCCAACCAAATGGATGCAATAAAGATGGAATTAACACCTGTGCATATAAAATACTTTAGGTCGCATCCATGGTGATGCCTGTACAGAATTTTATAGGCCCCACCATAAAATTTCTCGAGAGCTAATGAAATGTGACATCACCTTTGTGACAATGTAAGGAGCCAATGCTAAACTAGGTTTTATTTCTGGACCCGTAAATTGTGGAAGGTACTGCAGCCCATTCTGCACTGTTGCAATGTCACAACTTACTGCAAAAAAGGTCTTTAGTACCACTTTTCATGGCATCAGCATAGCCCATTTTTGGCCAAAAGTACCCAAACTGGGTACACGGATGGAAAAAAGGGGCAACCCTGTGCTGTAAATAGTCATAAAAAAAGTCAGAGAGGGCAAATGGGTTCAAAATAGCAAACAACTGTATCCTAGCAGCTTACACCTAATGACACTTCAATATTTAAAAGCTTTAGACGATATCTGAACTCATGTAATTTTACATTTGATACCAACCTCACAAGAATAGTGAATGTAGTGTGTTTACACTAATATGAAATTGTATAGGCCATTGTTCTTTATTTGTACACAGTTTCTCATTCTTTTCCTTTTTGTTTTTGTTTGGTAGGAATATAAGTCTGCCCACACACTTCATCCTTCTTTTCACCTTCTCGTAGATAAGTTAATGTTAAGAACCATCTTCTGGATTTTTTCTTCCTTCTTCAAAATATTGGCCTTTACAGCACAAATCTTGTCTTGCTGGTCTCTAATCAACTGTTCCAATTCAGCCAGTTCTGCTTTTAAGGGCTCCACAGCGCTGTCTGTGATGCTGAAAGATAAGCAGCACATTACGTGTTAGGGAAACATTAAACTGTGTTGCATTGCTCATGCCTCTGAGTACATGAAATACTTGGAATTTGCAAAGAATTTTGAAAAGAAACCCGCCCTTCCTGAAGCAGACAGGCAGGGTTAGCGAGACAGCTGAAGGAAATGAAAACAGACAGCAGCAGATTGTCGAAGAGCAACCCTAAAGTTTCACTGCACAATTCAGTGGCTCCTGGTGACCTTTGTCTAAGGTGCCACAGGACTCCTTGGTTTTGCAGATACAGACTAACCCAGCTCCCGCTGGGAGACTAACTGCAGCAAACCACTAGTGGCAGGAAAAGAAAAGTTTCCTGGCAAGGCCAGTCTTTCCATCAGCAGCTAATCTTGGAAAGGAAGGAACTCCGGCAGTTGGGGACCACATGGCCTCCCTATAACCTCAGCCTCAACTGGCCAGTGCACAGGGTCACTTGCACAGCTCCAGATTTGCTTCCTGGAGGCTCATGAAGTTCAGCAGCAGCAGGTCACACATCCCATACATGAGACTGTGCAGGCCTCAGAGCTGCTGCAAACCAGGACAGGGATCACACCCTGGACACAGACTCCTATCTTCATAAACCGACTCATGAGTAAGGGGGGTGGGGATGGAGGAAGAACCTTATGTGAATTGAGATGTTTTACTTTTAAGCATTTTGGAAGGATGCATATTTGTTTTACTTAGGGTCCTGCAGCTAAGGGAAGTGCCCTGCAGCAGTTCAGAATTACACATGCACTCCCTGGAGTCGTCATTTAGAAGTCTCCATTTCATAATCTTTCAGTTCTTCCCATCCACAAATCACAAAAAATTATCAATGAAAATTGCACTTGGATTTCCCCAATGGGACCCATTAATTATCTTCCACAGAAGGAAAGAAAACACCACTGTGCATTCAAGTAATACTACATATGGGAAACATTGTCTTCATGTCTGATGCCGAGTCATTTTTTCTGAAAGCTCTGCACTGCTATGGAGTTGATGATGGTCTTATTAAGCTTTCACGATGACTCTGCCAAAGAATGTGTGGCTGCAGAGTTTTCGATTTTTTAATGTTTCTGTGTGAGACAACGGAGCAGCTATTACAAGGGGATGTTAGTCTCTCCATCAGTAAGGTTGAAGCCTGCAGGGTGGGTTGATTTTAAACAAACAATTTAAATGGCCTATTTTAATCTGAGTTAAACCCGCAAGCAGAAAACCTGGCTTGAAATCTTCAATTTAATCTGTGTTTTGCATTTGAGTCTTTTCTTTATTTTCCTAAAGAAAAAAAGTTGATTCTCATTAGCTCAGGCATGTCCAAAGTCCGGCCCGCGGGCCAATTGCGGCCCGTGTTCCAGTTTAATACGGCCCCCGCTTCCTCCCCCTCTCCTGGCTCCCCGGCGCTCTTTTAAACTGGCGCACCCAGCGCGCTGCTTCCGGCCGCGCCGCCGCTGCCGCCCATGGCCTCCGCGGTCCTAGAGTCTGCCCTGTAGGGCACGTCCGCAGCCCCGCTCCCCCGCTCGGCTGCGGGTTCGCCCTGCCCCCCGGGCCGCCATGAGGCCGGCGTGCCCTGCGCTCTCCGCCCGCCTCCGACCCTGTGGGCCCTCCGCCTTGGGGCTGAGAGTGCGGGGACGGCCCTCACGCATGTTCACTTCTTCAAATCTGGCCCTCTTTGAAAAAAGTTTGGACACCCCTGCATTAGCTGGTAACCATTGAAACATGTTGATTTACAATTAAATATAAGGATCACACTAAAGTTGGTTTCTTCTTTGTTAGCCAGGAGGATATAATTCTATTTAAGCAATTATATAGTTTAAATTCCTAGCTTCTACATTTTTAGTACGCTAGGAATAGGTAGTGCTGCATTTCTTATTTACTAGATGATTAATGTTTTACTTTATGTCAAACAGTATTAGGTTTGAATTTAAATTAAAAATGCATGAAAGCATACATGTGTGCATATTTTCATGCATTTAATTGAATTTTCTTCCACTTTATTTTATTTTGTGCACGCGCACACACACACAGAGCTATTTTAAATAAGAAAAACATCAAAAAGTTTAATAAAGGCAAAACATTATCTGATACCGAAAGAATCTGCAGTTAGCAAAGTGAACTGATTGGTTCAACTGGTTTCTTAACTGTGACTGGGCATTGAAAAAGTAGGAAAGTTTGTTTTCCTCTCACAATCTATGAATAAAATTTATGTGAGAGAAGGTGAAATCTGTTAGTTCTAAAACTCTGAAAGACAGACATGGTAACTAGGAACAGTCACTGAACTAAGTTAGCTGAATAAAAGCAAATGAAAAAAAAATCCCTTTACCTGCAAAAGGAGGCTACCACTGTTTCTTGGCTTAGCACTTACACACATTCTGGTTCCAGATGCTTAGGCAGTAATGCAAATCACTAAAAATAGTGAAACTTTCTTTAAAACTTGGCAGTAAATATGTGCTAGTTAGGATTTTTTTAATTTAAATTATTTTAATGGATAATTTTAGGCCTTAGCATAGGTAGACATTTTAAAATTATATTTTAAATGGGTTCATGTTTTAAGAATACAAACCTGTATTTAATTTAAATTTAAAATACTCATTTTTATTGATCCTGAAAATGTTCTAATGCCCCCGAATCCACCAAAACATACTCAGGCCTCCCAAAGTGCAAAAGGTGCAGTCTGGTCCCATGATCATTTTCTGGATAAGTGAAGAGGCATCTAAGAGACCCATGAGGCAGGTGTAGTGTACAGACATCCTGGGAGACCCCAGCGAGGGTAGATGACAGGCATGCATGAACAATGTTCTTCCACTAGTTAAGCACAGACCTGAGGAGTCCAGATCTCTGAGTCCTATTGTTAGCTTTCACATTCTTGGTAAGTCTGGGTGAGTCAACTAACCTCCGGGCCTCAGTTTCGGGATGCAGAATATATAGTTAACACCATTTCCCTTCACAGGTACGTGGTGTAGCGTTGAAAAGCGAGCTGAGATGCTCGGATAGAAGGTGCTATGTAAATGCAAGATACTAACATCATTATACTTCACATGCAAACCAAAACCCTAACTTATTCCCATCTCAACCATTCAACTCCTGTGCCAGAAGTCAGAAATTCACAGGTTTAACCCTCAACTGTAGTGTGATGGGGCTTCTCCCACTCCAGAGCATCCTAAAACCAAGCCTTCCACTGAGGCTACGTACACAGTGCCATGCCAATTACCATACCTGTCTCTAGAGAGAGAGTGCATGCACCAGGGTGTAACATAGCCCCAGCTACCCAAGTTTATGAGGATGCCAGGAAAATGGATCTCTGTTACCTGATTTAAACCATTCCAAGGACAAGTAGCAGTGGGCTTCATCTGTCACAAGGGAGCGTTCGCACTCATACTGGGGAACATTGTTAGAGAGAGGAGAAGATTAACAACAGGTTGGACAGACATCTGTCAGGATGGTCTAGGGTTACTTGGCTCTATCAGCACAGGAGGCTGCACTAGATCTCTAGAGTCCCTTCCAGCCCTACGTCTCTATTGTTCTAAAACAACAATACACTTAATGGGGGCTCACAGACAACGGACCATGCAGCTTCCTTAATCCTTTAGCTAAGTGTAAGCATCGCTTTACTCTCCTGCCTTCCCAACTTTTTTAAATCTACACTCTTCAGATCATTTTTTCTATTCAATTAATCTTTTGTATTTAAAAGTTTCGTTCAATTTAATCCTCTCCCCCCCTCCCCTTTTTTGCACAACCCCCACCCCTCCAGTTTTAATATACCACTGAGGTATAAGTGCAAGCAGGCCAGCGAGGAGTAGTGTGGTAGGGTTTTACAGATGAAACTGCTCTGCCAACTAGCACGGACACTACTATGAAGTACTCGTTCAAATAACTCCTTTATAGACATTAGCCAAAAACATCATTTTGTTTGCATCACACGCGCACACAAGCGATCGCACCTGCGCACAATGAAAGCTTTTGGAAAGGCTTTGGAAAATCATCAGCATTTCAGAAGTCCATCTGTCTGCCATGTAACTCATTTGACATTATTTCTTCACAGAACAGAAGAGCTGAAAAGGGACTTTCAAGCCTGAGTTAAAGCAGACCCTTGATAGAACGCATGTAAACCCCCTCTTCCCCCGCCTTAAACAACAGGCAGCGTGGCTCTGCCTGCAGAACTGCCGAAAGAGCAAACTGCAATCCAGCCTGTCCCAGGCGGCAAAGCACGGGACATGCTTTCATTATCCTCACCTCTGCTCCTTCTGCAGAGCCTCTGCATGCCGCTTGGTCTCATGCTGCCACATTTGCAGTTCATTCTTCATGGAGTCCATATCTTCCTGAATGTAGTCCATGATTTTCCCAAGAGGCAGCGCACTCCGGCACAGCGTCTGAATAGATGCACGAAACTTCTCTATTTCTTTGGAAACCAGGTCCTTCTCCTTTCTTCTAGTGGCTTCTGACAAAAGCGGCTTCTCCTAATTTCATTGATTACAACAACAACAAAGGGGGACAGCATGAAGTCAAGAAAGATCCTGAACAATGTTTAGAGGTGAAATAAAAAGATAAATAAGGAAGTTGTACATTGTAAAGGAAATTTCTAAAGCAGACTGCAAAAAGGCTAGAAAATACTATGTTTTTATTTGATAATGGACAATCTACCCTAAATTCTCAATTACTAAAGGTCACTCTTCACTCAACTTTATTGTTAATTTTATTTGCCTAAATGTGGGTTATTGCTAATGATGTACTATACGTATCTTATGACTTAAAACACGCTTTGTATGTGCACATAACTCAGATGTACAGACACACTTTGCTAACCCTGTGCCTTATGTACATTTAACCATAGTGCTAATAACATTTCTAAACCTGGTCTACAAGAGGTCAGGAGTATCACCACTTTATTGAAAAGTGCTCGTCAGAGAGCATGTTGGGACAATCGCAGCAATATTAAAACAGAATGCTTTCCCGCTCCGGCAAGGCAGAAAGTGCAAGTTACATTAACAAGTCTGACAGCACACAGCTTCCATGACATCAAGCAAAGACAAAGATCAAACAAAAAAAGCTCCCATTAATCTAACTGTTGAACAAAGCTGGAAACCAAGCAGCAACAGCTCTGCTGCCTCCACATCTCCCCCAGGACTCTCACCACTGGCAGAGCTCTCTCCTCCATACAGACGCGTTCTGTAACCCCTGAGGTCGATGTACAGGGTGAGTACAAATCAGGCAGCCCTCTACAGGGCATAAGTTGCCCAAACATTCCTATCTGGGCCTTCAACTGCATGAGTGGCAATTGGGCAGCAAGAAAAGCCCATTTGAAAGGATCAGTCGATCAGAAGTGTGCAAGAGAAAATCTAGAACAAGGCTAATGTCAGACTCGGACAGGAGGAGAGAAGCAAAAGCAACTCAGGATCCTGGGCTGCAGAACCATACCTGGGGCCAGTCTTCTTTCCAGCTAGGGCCCTCTTACCACTGGCTCCTCAGGAGGACGACGTTAGTTTGAGCTCTTGGGACAAATATACTTGACTGTCTTAAGATAAGGAAGCTACGTGAGAAGTCTGCTCCATCTCCTTAACCAGTGGGCCCAAAACAATGCATCCCTCACTGAACAAAAGCTGCTGCCCCAGGAACTTAACCGTGTACTTGTAGGGTCCTGGACCAGCTTCAATCCAAAATCAGCTGACTTGGACAGGTTCTATAAGAACTGAGAAAAGGCAGGTTCCTCCCTGTGAAAACACTAAATGATTGTTCTATAAAACAATCAGAGGTCTATAAAACCATGACAGGTGTGGAGAAAGCGAGTAAGGAAAAGTTATTGACTTGTTCCCGTCACATAAGCACTATGGGTCACTACTTGAAATTAATAGGCAGCCAGTTTAAAACAAACAAAAGGAAATACTTCTTCACGCAGCTCAGAGTCAAACTGTGGGACTCCTTGACAGAGGAGGTTGTGAAGACCGGGACTTACAGGGTTCAAAAAAGAGCTAGATTGATTCCTGGAGGTTAGGTCGAATAGCCAAGATGGGCAGGGATGGGGTCCCTGGTATGTCTGTCAGAAGCTGGGAACATCGAAAGATGGAACACTGAGCTAGGTGGACTTTGGTCTCAGCCGGTGTGGCCGTTTCTGTATGGACCAATCTGGTCTGAGTGGATACATCATTAACATTCTATAACAAACCCATTCCAATGAACTTTTCTTCAGTGCACCATTTGCTGCAAGAGAAATTGCCATCCCCATCCTACCTCCCTCCTTTCTGGATTCATTTTTCTGTCTATTTAAAAAAAAAAAAAAATAGCCAGCAGCCAGAGGGCATGGGTTCCAAACCTGAGTTTTCCTTTAGTGCAAAATCGGTGCCCTTTGAAGATTATATAAATTCCTTGCAGCAATGTAACGGATGCAGGAAAACTAGAAAGGTCTTTATTTAGCAGCCTAGCCCCAGGACTGATCTGTTACTAAAAGCAGGTCCTGCCGCCTATATAAATCCAGAGGTGGTAGCGTGGGTGTGCCTCACTGGGCCACAATATGCCCTACTGTCCCCTACCTGATGGGCCTTTCTTCCTACACAAGCTGTGGATTGTTTGCTCAGCTGCACCTGCAGGCACCAGGGATGCCTGCCAACCACATTTCAGCAGCCTTTGAATTACTGAGCAACTCAGATATATATTTTAGAAAAACACTTCTAAGATTTTAAGGCAGATTTACTTACTTTTGATGCTTGTAGTTTACCACACACATTCTGTATGAAAACTATGGGCCTTCTGAGTTTTCAGGGATTTTAGAACTTCACATTTGTTTAATTAGGAATCGGGCAAGGCAGTGAACACTGGTGAACATTGTGATCTTAGCTCCCAAAGTCAGGTCTTGAGTGTTATGGGCTCGATGGTTAGACCAGCAAAAGAAATGCTCATTTTCATTCCTCTGTTTGGCCATTATTACTTTCTCCAAGGCAGGTGTTTCATTATACCGTACCGCAGTACCCATTAACAAGGGCATTACTCAGGTACTTGTGCTCATTGGTAATACAAACTTCAAACGTGTCTCTCTTCTCATTCGTGATCTAGGAAGCATTTCCACTCACAGAACGCCAATAGTGTTAGAGGGAGTGTTCCACAGAGAGCTACTCTGATGCTTCACCGCCTTGGCAGGCTCTTGGGGAGATAACCGAGTTAACACGGATTAAGTCAGTAATAGTGCCCATTTGTTCCACATCCCACACTACTCTCCATACATTCACCTCTAGACACCATCTCTCTCCTGAGAGCCACAGACTGTCTCCCTGCATCTGACACCCTTTGGCCTGGATGACTACAAGCTCAGTCTCTGAGCACCTTATGCTCATCCTCTTTTTTTTTTTTTTTTTTAAATTCCTTCACAGTGGCAGGCAGCATCGCATCCCACGTCAGTTACACCCAAATCGACCAAGACCTCAACTCCAGTATTTTGGTATTTTGAGACAGAGCGCTAAAAGGGTGAGGAGTCAGTGGCTGATGGTTTATACATTTGAACCCAAGGAGGAGTGTAACTGAGGCCTGTCGCACCACCACTGCTTATGGCGCAGGCTGCTGTTCCTGCCAACTCTCGTGTGGGCGAAAGTGCCACTCTCACAGCTCAGCGGCCCTCCTAGATGACTCACTGCTCAAAACAGTTCTCATCGTGCTTCTGGTAAGTGGTCAACAAATACCTTAAGTTTAGCATTGTTCATGTGGTCATACTTCGCCATTAGGGATTGGTAATGTGCAAACCTGAACAGCAAAATAGCTGAGAACTATGCCTACCTACCAAATAAATCAAGTCTTTTCCAGTCGCTGCCAGAAGGAATGGACTTACTATGTTGCTTTTGTTCACAGTGTCCACAACAATAGACCTGGGTGGAGGATGCGCGCGCACACGCACGCGCACACACAAAAAATCTCTGCTTCCTCAGAGGGCACACAATCTTGTTTTTAATCAGCCCTTTTTGCATGCTGGTGCACTAGAGGCTGGGGTTTGCCAACTGATCTTAGCAGGGTCGGGAAACAACGAAGTGAGTGGGTGGGCGATTTGAGCGGAGGAGGAGATGTACAATATTTCTTTCACCTCTTTGGGTGAGGACATCAGAGTGGCCAGACTGGGTCAGACCAAAGGCCCATCTAGCCCAGTGTCCTATCTGCCGACAGCTGCCAAAATCAGGTGCCTCAGAAGGAGTGAACAGACAGAGAATCATCACATGATCCCTCCCTTGTTGCCCATTCCCAGCCTCTGACAAACAGACTAGGAACACCATCCCTGCCCAGCCTGGCTAATAGCCATTGATGGACCCATCCTCAATGAATGTAACTAGTTCTTTTTTGAACCCTGTTTAAGTCCTGGCCTTCTCAACATCCTCTGGCAAGGAGTTCCACAAGTTGACTATGCGCTACGTGAAGAAAAACTTCCTTTTGTTTGTTTTAATCCTGCTACCTACTAATTTCATTTGGTGACCCCTTCGTTCTTGAGTTATGTGAAGGAGTAAAATAAGTTTTCTTTATTTACTTTCTCCACGCCAATCACGATTTTATAGACCTCTATTCCATCACCCTACCTAGTCTTCTCTTCAATCAGACTGGAACTTTTCAGCTTGGAGACTCCTTAAGATTTCCTGCTTGGCTCTCCCCCCTTAGAGGCTGAAAGCTCCAGGGACTGTTTTTGCCAGGGAGGGGATTTGGGACCAGGGTCAGATGACTGTTTAAGAGCACTTTCCAGGAGGACTAGTTTCAGCTTTAACTCTGACTTTTTGGGATTTAGCCTTCACTTACTGGCACAAGGTACATAGGGATGAGGCACTGAACATAGCCAGGGTGTCATCTATAACTGGTATTGCATTGTTTAAACCTATGCAATGTAGGGGAGCCAGGTAACTCTGTACAGGGCACTCTGCAGACAGGGAAAAAGAGGTAGGAGAGAGAACAGGGGAAAGGATTTTTTTTAAAATCATGGGGGGAATAAAGAGATTCCTATAAAGCTAAGAAAAGACAAATGGAACCTCTAGCAGGAGCCAAGACATTGAACTCAAACGCTGAGGTAAAGAGCCCCGACTGGGGCAGTGACAAAGAACTGAGGACGAAGAAGAGCACACGGGAGGGAGAGTGCACGTCTGAGTGGAATGGACACGGCTCTCTCAAAGCTCCAGTCAGGCGCAGACACATGAACAGCAGAGCACCCACAGAGACACTCCTTGAAGAGGCGCTACTGTTTCTACAGAGCGAATATGGAAAACTTTGCAAGAGTGCCTAGTAAGAAAGAAAGGCAGTTGTTAAAAAAAGAACAGTTCCTGACCATTTATGGGTTAATATTTACTTGGATCATTTCGCTTTAAATCACAAAGAATACTGGCAGATGGTGCATTACAACAAGCAGTGTGGGTGGTAAATCCTACGTCAGCTTTGCTCATTTTGCACAAATATGAAAGGAGATATTCCATTTTCAGACAAATGTCAGAATCATTTCAAGTTGGTCATACGTCTCAAACAACCCACTCTTTTAAATCAATGAGGGAAAAGGTACCACTGATGTCAGAGGGAAGGGGAACCCAAAATAAACTACCAACCCACAGGATTTACTTTCAGGCTGTGTCTACACTGCACGCTTCTTGCGCAATAACAGCCAGCCTTGTGCAAAAACTTGCTGGCTATCTATGCTGCATGCGCGTTCTTGCACAAGTAAATTTACAGTACAGCGTCGGAAAACAGGGCTTCTTCTGGAAGAGTTATTTCTCTCCCCACAAGGAATAAGCCCTCTTGCGCAAGAGCTCTTCCACAAGAGGCCAGTGTAGACAGGCAACACTAATTTCTTGCGCAAGAAGTCCCTATGGTTAAAATGGCCATCAGAACTTTCTTGCGCAAGAGGGCGTCCACACTGCTATGGATGCTCTTGCACAAAAGTCATGGCAGCGTGGACGCGCTCTTGTGGAAGATTTTTTGCACAAGAACTCTTCTGCAAAACAGTTCTTGCACAAGAAGCCTGCAGTGTAGACGTAGCCTCTCCATATTCCGCCTTCAGCAACTAGCGGAAGGTTAGGGTGTACCTAGTACTGCAAATGGCTTAATCACACAACACCCAGTTCTAATATTCACTTGGTTTGATACATTTGAATTGCCAGGTGTCCTAAAGAAAGTAGGAAAGATGATGCAATTATGCAATATTTTGAAAGGGTATTTCTGGAGTCAGTATTTCTATGAATTGACAGAGGTTTTCATTCTATTTATTATCACAGATATTGCTTATTTTAAAATGAACAGCAGTAGAATATGGATTGAATTATAGACCATGCACACTATAAATGGTTAACAGTTCAGTAAAAGGGCATGTAGGACGTAGTATGTCCTGCTATCCAAGTAGAGCAAAACAGTCACGTTAATGTATTTGTTTCCCCTCTTTCCTAGAGCACAGGAGCCATTTTGGACAAGTTTTGTTTTCTCTGTCAGTCTGACTCCAAAGAACGGTTTGGATTTTTTATCGGCTACATATTTGAGAGTTTCTCTGTTCAAGAACTCCTCCTCGATGGTAAGAGCTAGGACCACCACATCCGGGATACAGATTCCTCTGATCATAACTTAAAGCAAGGGAAGGGTTGGGCTGTGCCAGGGATGGGATTGCGTCTCATAAAATCAATCAGAAAAAAGAGAGACCCCAGGCAAGTGAAAGGGACTGCCCAGCCTGAGCCTCCCACCCTCTTGGCACCCTTCAGGGAAGACAAAGCTCCCCTCCCACACACACACACTCCTGATTCATATGGGGACATTGTCGGCTGTTCCCCTTCATCAGGGAGCAAGGGGAAGTGCCCAGTTTGCTGCATTTCTCTCTGGCTGGGGAGAAGAGGACAGATGAACCTGGACTGCCCCAGCTGGGGGGACATGCGCCCCTCCGCTGGCTGTGCCTGCTGGAGCTACAGCAGCCATGGAGAGGCACTTCTCACCTGGCCCCGAGCTGCTGTGGTGAGAGGTTTGGGGGGCTGTCCTCTCTTCGGGGGACAAGCTGCTATTGACCCCTCCTCCCCAACCCCATCCCATGTAAAGCATTGCTGTGGACATTTTCATTGTATTGTCCAAACAAGAAAAATGAATTGAGTTAAGGACCTGAGCAGCGCCAGGTCAATCTTCTAGTAATAAATAAAATTCACAAAATCCTGGTTCTCGTGCCCACTACATGCAACCATCTTTCTGAGAACTGTGCTCACGGTGACCTGAACCTGGGACTAGGATAAAAGACAAGCTGGATTTGAGCATTCCAGTAGCCTGTGTTAATTGCCCCGCTGTGGTGTTAAATGAAAGGTTACTCAGCCATATCCAGGCTCTTCAGTACAGTTGTCTACATGCAGAAACATATTTCTTATGCCTGTATCGAAAGTTCCTCACTGTATTTTCTTGCAGTGTAATGACAAAGCACTGATAATACAAATGCTCTTCACTAGGGCCCATGGGTGCTGCATATGAAGAGTTAATCCTACTGTAGGGATTTCCTTGAGATACAAACTAGTAGGCTAGAGAGAAGCTTGGATTCCCAAAGCACAAACTGTGTTATAACAGCTGAGCTGAGGATGGTTTAAACAAACAGCTAATTTATCAGCCATACGTTTTACTAATGAGAGAACATCCTTTATGGAACCCAATCTCTGTTGGTGAGACACACAAGCTTTTGAACTACACAGAGCACTTCTTCAGCTAAAAACTATTATCTCCTCTTCTTTCTCTAGTATCCTGGGACTGACATGACTGTCCCACTGGATATGGTAAGCACAGACTGCACTAGCTCTGTTCTGAGGAACTCCAGCAAAATAATCATCATGACTGATTTGGTCTTGAAGTGGTGAGATTTTTGTTTCTACGCCGTTTCTGATAAAAGGTAACTTTATCCAAGTCATGTAACTATTTGATAAATTTGTTTCTAGCAAAAACTTTGCAGAATTGCTTCTTTTTCAGAGCCAATGAACTTTTGTGATATATGAAGATGGGACTGTTTTTAGTATGTGACCCTACTTAGCAAAAACGATTTCATAACTTGTCTACTTTTGCCAGGCCTCAAATAAATGAAGTGGAATACAAAACAAACCATCTGTTTCTTTGCCTAACTGCTTAATATGGGAGTCAGGTTCTAACCAAATATATTTAGGAAGTCTTTTCAGGAATTTGTTAGGCTGAATGCAACTAATCAAGGCAGCAAAACCCTTATGTATTTTCAAGGTGACCTCTTTGTTTGACCTGAAAAGTTGGTATATTATTTTAAGTACTTTCACTACATAGCTTTGGCATTTGTAGATTTAACCTTCCTTTTCTAACATCAGTGTTTCAAGAAAGTGTAGGTATGCTTGTGAGGAATGCCATGGAAAGTAATTCACATAAAGCTATGACTAACTGCTACATAGCAGTCACAGTTACGGTGTGTACTATCCACGAGTCAAAACAGAACACTGCTGACCCCTCTGCATTCATTTGCCATTTTTACCCACTTTACAGACTGGATTTTTAAAATCAAACATCTACTCATACCTCGATGAACATAAGAAACAGCTCTGCAAATACAGACAGACACGTTCTGAGCTCTGCTAACAGCTCTAGGCTTCAAAGGCTCAAAGAATTGAAGATGAAAAGAAGAAACGTTCTTCTCGCAGCTTGAGGAGCTCTAGCAATATGTCTAAGGAAGACATGGACGTTTATGGGGGGGAACCCAACTTTCTGATTGCCAGCCACAGCTAAATGTTTGCAATCACCACGTTACCTAGAGAGTTCAGCTGTGTGCTGAGAGAAGCGCCCCCCTTGGTTCCTATGCCGCCAGTGTGTCAGCTACACAGCTGCATCACCTTCACCACAGCGGCCTGCAACTTCCCTACTGACAGTGCCTGAGCGAAGGCATCTTTCACACTGTGGCTTTTGGCACACACGTACAATGTCTTCATTCCTCAAAGTAAGGCAAATGCTTTCCTACAATCCAATATCCTCTCAGACTGCTGCGAGCGAACCCCACCCTTGAATTAGCATGGCTAGCAAGCACCCTTCATCTTCCCTACGGTCAGAACAGCCGCTTCTCGCTGGGTCACAAAGATGTCTCTGCCGTCACGTGAAAAGCAGCCGCAGACCCAGCACAGCAGCTGCTTAGCAGTCCCACGACAGACACAGAAACTACACCTCCCATTGGTGTTTGGGAAACGTCAGTGGGCAGAAGGGAGCACGAGTGCTCTGAGGGTGAAGGAGAAACGGAATGAAAAGATTGAAAAGCAGATTGAGGCGGATTGCCCTGGCTGGAGACTCTTCTTTTGGGGGCAATCTATGATTAGTGTTGTACAGCTTCCCATAGGAAATGGCTAGAGCCCTGTGGCTTAGCTCGGCAGAACCTCCCCCATCCGCCCCCGGCAGAGGAATGAGCTGGATGGCGGGATAGTCCCCCACATCTAGTTTCTCAGATTGGATGACTGAACAGCACCATCTAGTTACAGGCCTAGGAAAGGCCACCTGCACAGACACCCAATCAAGTCCAGAGTGTGCTGCTGGCAGCCTGTCCCATTGCTCAGCCCTTCCGTTCTCTTCAGTGGTGGCAAACCTGCAGACCTTGGGCCGCACGCTGCTCGCAAGGCGGGATAGTCCCCCACATCTAGTTTCTCAGATTGGATGACTGAACAGCACCATCTAGTTACAGGCCTAGGAAAGGCCACCTGCACAGACACCCAATCAAGTCCAGAGTGTGCTGCTGGCAGCCTGTCCCATTGCTCAGCCCTTCCGTTCTCTTCAGTGGTGGCAAACCTGCAGACCTTGGGCCGCACGCTGCTCGCAAGGGGAAGCCACTGGCAGGGCGCCAGACCACCCGTTGCCCTTTCCCGCCCCT